TTAATAGGATGTAATAGCTAAAGAATAGGGGGATGGTAGCGGTATAACGGTTCGGGAGGCCTTAGGCAGAGAGCACTTACCATCGGAAATAGGAGAACCCCTCGCTGAGCCGTTATTAACCGTTACACTATATACGTTAACAAACACTCATTTGAAAGACAAAGAGACCTGTCTTCAGTGGCTAAGAGCAAAAGGATTGTTGCCTAACATAGAGAGGAATTGTAGGAATTGTCGAAAGGAAATGGAATTCGAAGAGGGCCACGGGTTCGGGAGCTATAGGTGCCGTAAAAGTCGATGCGAGAACTCAGGGAAGAGGATTAGCGCAGCAAAAGGCACTTGGTTTCAAAATGTTAAGTGTAATCCGATTAAAATAGCTCTCTTGACCTATGCCTTCGCCCATCGTCGCTCATATGCCGATGCAATTAAAGAAAGTTCGATAGATGGCACTGAGACCTCGAGTGCAACTGTAGCCGACTGGTACTCCTATTGTAGAGAAGTTTGTATGACCGCTTTAGATAAAAGATATAAAGAAGAAGGTCAAATCGGCGGTAGAGGGCATACAGTCGAAATCGATGAGGCAAAAGTAGGGAGGAGAAAGTATAATAGAGGGCGACAACGAGAAGGACACTGGATCCTGGGGATGATTGATAGAGATGGCGGCTATCGACTTGAGATCTGTAAAGATGATAGAAGAGATTCATGAATGCCTCTAATTAAGAAACACGTAGCGCCCGGTACTACAATAATAACAGATGAATGGAGAGGTTATCTCCCACTAAAAAAGGCGGGCTATATTCACCTGACAGTCAATCATAGCAAGAACTTCAAAGATCCCCAAACAGGTGCCCACACAAACACCGTCTTACTACAATAATAACAGATGAATGGAGAGGTTATCTCCCACTAAAAAAGGCGGGCTATATTCACCTGACAGTCAATCATAGCAAGAACTTCAAAGATCCCCAAACAGGTGCCCACACAAACACCGTCGAAGGTATGTGGAAGCATTTGAAGCATAGTCTAATCGATCGTGGATATAAATCCGATGATCTGGCGATGCACATGTGCACATACCTATGGCACAGAGAAGTTCGCCAAAGAAGAGCCGACCCGTTGGAAGAGCTACTCAAAGACATTGAAACTATGTATCCGCCAAGAAATTCTAACTTCTAGTTAAAATGAACAATAAATTAAAAAAATTAAAAAAAATTTTACCTTAAATTTTCGCAAACTTTGATACTATAATTATGACCCTTGAACCTTAAGCTATTGACCCATATAGGTCATTCCACCAGGGGGCGCGGCCCAGATAATAAAGTGCAACCAAAGTTGACTTCAGGACAATTTTTTCCCATAGACCTAATGTTAAGAAAATTGACAATTTCTTGTCAATGGCTGGACTAATCTGAATCAAACTTTGCTATCATTGACTATGACACCTCCTCTTCCAAATAGCATACCCGCCCCCTTCCGACCCTCCTTTCAATTGGGCTAAAACCATAGCATTTCGAAATGACCCAAAAATTTCTATGTTTTAGTCACGTGATTTCAATAATTTTTTGCTACAAAAACTAGACATGTGGAACTTTGTTTTACAGTCTGCAAAATTAATCTAGCTCATTCCGTTTGAGAGATATAACGATTTCCGAGGCGCACGATTTTTTTGAAGGACTGGATATATAATCGGCCAATAATGTTAGGCGCCTCAAGAATTGAAATAACTCTTAAACGAAATGAGCTAGATCTATTCTGTAAAAAGTACAATAGAGTTCCATATGTCTAGTTTTTTGTAGCAAATATTCATAAAATTCAAGTGAATATTCTTTCGTAGCGAACAAAATATTCAAGAAATTTGACACAATATTTGGACAAAAATAGCCCAATTTTGACCTTTTTGTACTACATTTTCGTTGTTATAAAAAGTCGACTTCAGAACCATTTTTCCTCATAGAACTAATGTTAATAAAAATTAACAATTTCTCGTAAATGGCTGAATGAATTTAAGTCAAACTTTGCTATCATAGTCTTTGACATCTCCTTTAAAGATGAGCATAAACGCCCTCTTCCTAGCCCCCTTCGAGGTGGGCGAAAAACATGGCAAATCGATTTGACCCAGAAATTTTTGGGTTCTAATCACGTGATCTCAATAATTTTTTGCTACAAAAAACTAGACATATGGAACTCTATTTAATTTTTTACATAATAGATCTAGCTCATTTTGTTTAAGAGTTATTTCCATTCTTGAGGCGCCTAACATTATTGGCCGATTAGATAATAGATAATAAAAATCAGTGTTATATTGAATAAACTGCACTGTTATAACAAATACAATACACCAGCAGTAAACACAACACTAAATCTGTTTGTCTTTTCACGTCTCTCATATACATAATATACATGTAAAGTTACATAACTATAAAGAGTGTTAAACTTTACATGTTTATTGTACCAAAACTTAATCACAAGATCTATTTTATGATCAATAAAAGAGAACACTAATTGAATGGGAGCTACAGTTCCAGTCGTCGGCCAATAGTGAGGCCAACAACAGCGCCGGTGACCACAAAAAAAGGCAACTGTTGGCCCAGATATGGGACTCCGAGCGCCAGATGTCGGCCGATATCAACAGCCGTCAGCGCCAGAAGGATAGGGAGAGACAGACACTACTCGACAGTATATCCCAATGTATGGCACGGTTTACGGAATCGGTTCGGATTACTAATAGGTATGTAAATATATTTGCAATATTATATATTTTATTAATTTATTTAATTAGAGAGAGAGAGAGAGAGAGAGAGAGAGAGAGAGATGACTATTGATTGATATAATAAAGTTTATTATTTATAATGATATGACTCTTAGGTGTGATATATTGTACAGAAGAAGAGGAAGAGCCGGTTATCGATATCATAATTACACGTTACGAGAGATATGGCAATGGAGTCGAATGTCCCGAAAATTTGGAATTCATTAGAGAGAAATGTAATCAAACTGGCACATCTGGAACTAGCAATGGAACACTGTAAGTCAAGTAGCAGTATTTTAGCAACAGTATTCAATTTAGTAATAACAATAATTAATTCAATTTTTACAAATATGTTTAGATAGTCTTAAAACTTTTACAATATAAATATTTTATTTAATATTTTTAAAGTAAATATTCAAATGACAATGTTTTAAATAATAATATTATTATGTGTCAAGTTCTAATAGATTTGATGTCAAAAATTTTGTAAATATGTGTAAAGGTATAGCCATAGCCTTACACCCATACCCACTGGAAATGCCCAAACCATATCCACCCAAACCATATCCACCCAAACCATATAATCTCATCAAGATAAGTTGCATTAACAGCATAAGTATACAAAATCCAACAAATGTGTTACTTTACTTAATATACTATAATTTATAACATTTTAAAACATTTTACAACTTATGCCGTGATCAAACTCTTAAAATTTCTAAGCTTGACTATAAATAATATAACAATAAATTTTGATTTTATTATTATATTTATAATCAATAATTGACAAAACAATGGATTAATTATTTTCTAAATAACCTTAATGTTGTAGCTTTTGGGATATTGTAAAAGGCTTGCAATGGGCAGGGTATTTAAAGCCAGAGGTCCGGGAAGTGATTTTGGAGAGTCCTAACATTAGATTTTACGAAAAGCTTAATCTGTATTGCGATTTGACCGAGGACAAACAAGTGAAATACGCTCAGCTGACCAACGCAAAACTAAATGAAACAAAACTACTCCGTGATCGTTTTCTTGGATACCTAGAAGAGATGAGTAAACAAACGAAAATTAACATGGGCGAAGCAATATGGTATAGTGGTATTATTATAATTATATAATAAATATAACATTATTAATGTGCAATAATATACATTGTTCAACTAATGTCTTCGTTATACTGTACAACAAATACATAAACACTGTATATAAAGTTATAATTAAAGATTAGTTTAGATTAAATTAATTTTAAGTTATAATTATAAAATTAAATGTAAATAGTCCAAAAATTATAACACATTTTATATAGCATTGGCCGTACCTTTTGGGAGAAAATGGTCAATTTGCACGATGACCAGGATGTTTTCAGAGAGTTTGCGAGCAAAATTGTTGAAATATATCCGGCCGTATTGAACCGTGCTGAAACCGTTTTGGGAGTAAAAGTGGACGACAAGTGCGAAATGAAAGGCAATCTCATGTTTACCTCAATATGTTGGGGACACTAATTGTAAATATATTGGGGACACCAATTGTAGATATGTTGGGGACACCAATTGTAGATATATTGGGAACACCAATTGTAGATATGTTGGGAACACCAATTGTAGATATGTTGGGGACACTAATTGTAGATGTGATCCCAAACAAATCTAAAATTGGTGTCTCCAACAAATGTATAGTTAGTGTCCCCAACAAACTTATAGTTGGTGTCCCCAACAAATGTATAGTTGGTGTCCCCAACAAACTTATAGTTGGTGTCCCCAACAAATGTATAGTTGATGTCTCCAATAAACATATAGTTGTTGTCCCCAACAAACTTATAATTGGTGTCCCCAACAAACATACAGTTGGTGTCCCCAAAAAACATACAGTTGGTGTCCTCAACAAACTTATAATTGGTGTCCCCAACAAACTTATAATAGTGGCCAACGGCAGGCCTATGGCACAGTTTATTTACAATGCAGTAAACATTTCTACTGGATTATGTCTGTGCCTACACAATCAAACAGCCAATTAGCAGTTAGCCTCTCTCAGGCTTGTGAGAGCGCTCAGTCAATGGCAATATAGATAAGATATTGGTTTCACTTGGCATTCAATTGGACACCTTCGTTGATCATACCGTCGATCCATTCTTAAAATACGCTCAAAAAGCGTTTCCAGCCTATTGACGACACGTTCCTCCCGGTGCTCATCAACTCTAGTTTATCGCACACGGCGTACAACTGGCCATAAATTGTGGCCGCTTAGCCCACATCGCCATCGATGTGGCCGTAAACAGTTTCATCATAATCGTCGGCCACGAAATAGTGCATCATCATTTTAAGCAAAGCTTTGTATTTGATTTGATCACGTGTGAACGGCCAGAAATAGGCGGCAAACACCAGCCCACTTTCCATGCGCTTGAACTGGGCCTTGGTGAATTGGCAATGCCTCTGTTACCAGATGCTCAATTGTATGCAGCGGATTGCGTTCGAAAGCATTAGAAATCGCGTCGACACCGAGTATTTACGTACGATCACTGTGTCTGTGTTCTCACTTTTGTTGTCGCCATCATCTGAAAATAATTGTATTTAACGCTACTTTTTAATTGTTTATTGTATACAATTTTTGTGCTTATTATTAACATCAAATATTAACTTGTAATTACAATTAAAATGGTGATTTATAAACAATTTATAAATTATTAATATCAAATATTATTAATTACAAGTTACTATATTTAAAATTATATATAAGTTAACACGTGGCCAGATGCAAAATTATTTTAAAATAAGTTTTAAAAATATTATACTGTACTAATTAATATATCTGGTGACCATATTGTTCATTTTGTTAATGATATTAATAAGATAGCCTGTAGCAAAGAAATGAATTTCTATCAGTGTTAAATTCAATTGAAAATAAAATAATGTGCATAACAAATGTTAGAATGTATAATAATCATATTTATATGCTAGGTTTGTACATTTTATTTGATAACGTATATTTAATAAAAATTGACAAGAAACTTTATTATATCTAATTAAATTTTTAAATAAATTTATATTATAACAAACAAAATATACTTTTAAAATTAGCCTGTATTTGATAATGATATAAACTTTAATATTGAACGCCCGCAATACCACGCCGCTCGGCAGGCAAAACGGGCCGCGAACACTAGTTGACTTAACTGATTAACTCGGTTACTAACTCAGGTATTTGCAGGATTTGCAGGTTAAGTTGCCATCTCGCCGGGCGAAGCTAACAGTACGTAAAATCACGCCGGAGGGCTTCGCGGCCGTACAGAGGTTCACCCGACAAGACACCACCAATTGACGGGACACTAATTGTAAATGTGATCCCAAACATATCTACAATTGGTGTCCCTAACAAACTTATAGTTAGTGTCTCCAACAAATGTATAGTTGGTGTCCCAAACAAATATATAATTGGTGTCCCCAACAAATATATAATTGGTGTCCCCAACAAATGTATAGTTGTTCTCTCTAACAAACATATAGTTAGTGTCTCAAACAAATATATAGTTGGTATCGCCAACAAATGTATAGTTGGTGTCCCCAACAAACTTATAATTGTGTCCAACGGCTGGCTTATGTCACAGTTTATCTACAACGCAGTAGCCAATTTTACTGGATTGTCTGTGCCTACACAAACGAACAGCCAATTAGCAGTTAGTCTCTCACAGGCTTGTGAGAGCGTTCGGTCAGTGGCAATATAATTTAGGTATTAGTTTTACTATATACCTGGCAAACTAATAACACTATAACAAATACGGCATTATTACAATGTATAACAGCTCATAGCATACAACAAAATAGTTACGACACTTATTACTAAAGCCTTTATATGTATTCCGTTACAATATTATTATACCAAATTGAAATTAAAAAAACAATACTAAAACGAGATGTGAAATATTTAAAAAATACACAAACGTCACACAAACTTCGATTAAATCTTCTAAATTAGCTAACTTGTGTTTGGCATTCAATTGGAGGCTCTCTTTGATCATACGGTCGATCCATTCTCTAAATACATTCAAAAAGCGCTTCTTTTGCATTGCGTTTAACGCCAAATTAATCTTGTCGTAAACGGCATACGCGGCCAAGATATATGGCTTTCAGCCTATTGACGACACGTGCTTGTTGTAAATGGAAAAATTAGATGAAAATTAATAGTTAATTCAATAATAAAATATTTAATATTTATATTTACAATTAAATTATTTATTAAAATATATTAATTAATTCAATATCTGTTATATTTGATGAATAAATAAATAATGTTAAGCATAAAGATATCCTTAGTGTAATTCAAAATAACATATGCCGATATCTTTTGGCTTAATCTTATATCATAAAACTGACAGAAAACGAATTATGCGGCAATAATAATACCGACAATTATTGTGTAAGCAGGAATTGTTTCTTACACGGGAAATATACTGTATGTGCCAACTCTGGTGTTCAGAACTAAGAGCTCACAGTTTTTAAGTAATAGACTAATGGTTTTATAAGTTTTTAAATAACTAATGTTTTATAGTTTTTATGGAATAATCCCTAAACCTCTGTATTGTATAAACGCCCCTTTTATTGTGAATATAAGCAGGCCTCGACTGCTGTTACGGAGAAAATCCCTATGGTTTGCAATAAATACACGTTAAATTTCTGTAAACGGGTGTTTGGTCACACTTTAGCTCAGCGCTTCCACGTCGGTGACACATCCCGAGGGCGCCTTTCCGAGGTTGGTCTATCCCACCAGATAGCACCTGTTGGTCACCACTGTTTGGCAATCGAAGACACCGCTGGCCGTTGGCGTTGGAAGCGCGTGGCGAGAGTATCGCCACAACAGCAGTTGCGTGCGTGGGCTCGTTCGGAGTGTCTGCCACCGACTGACCGGAACGAGGAATCCGAAGGAGTAAGAGCACCACTCAGACCGAACAGTCCAAGCGCTACTGAAGAAGCTCTCACCGTACCGGGAGAACCGAGTGAGTAAGACTCACACCACACGCCACAAGTCGACACTTGACCGGAAAGATCCGAAGAGTGAGAACATCACTATTGGCCAACAAACCCGTCTAGCGTCAGCTGCCACTATCGGAGCTGCCGCCGTATCCCTCGAGGGTAACCGTTTTTTGAATCCGTTGCGCATGTGTTCGGCCGTCACTCACTCGCACGCCAGTGACCGCCGCAAACAGAGACCCGTGGCTCAGATCTCATACATGTACATTATAGTAAAGTTAATATTAATTAGCGCCTATCATATACTGGGAATACATTGGAATATACCATAATTAATAAATCTTTAGTTAATATACTGTATTGAATGTAAATAACAGAGAGAGAGATGGTGAGAGATA